AAATACCGGCTGCTTTGCACACCCCTACTTTCCACGCTTCTTCAGTGTTTCTTCCGCACTCCACCCACACTTTCCACGCTTCTTCAGTGTTTCTTCCGCACTCCACCCACACTTTCCACGCTTCTTCAGTGTTTCTTCCGCACTCCACCCACACTTTCCATGCTTCTTCAGTGTTTCTTCCGCACTCCACCCACACTTTCCATGCTTCTTCAGTGTTTGTTCTGCACTCCACCCACACTTTCCATGCCTCTTCAGTGTTTCTTCCGCACTCCACCCACACTTTCCATGCTTCCTCCTGCCCGTTACATCTTGCTGAGCACCTTCTTCCTAGAGACGGGGCTATCGCCGCCTGTCAGCCTGTCACTGATGCGCCCCTCAGCCTGCTCCGCTCATCCACCTGGAAGAAGAGCTAATGCTCGGCCGAGCGCGGCCACTCCGTCGTTTGTCTTCCAGACGGTTGAGCTGAATCGGAGCATCGCGGTCACCAGTGGCGATGGCACAGTGCACATCCACCCTCTCTGTGACATTAGACTGAGCAAACAGAGCACCCCGCAGGTAGACGAGCTGCTGGGAACCGGAAGGAAGCCCGTCACGGCCGTGAAAGTGCGGCGTGCAATGCAAACCAAACATTTGTCACACGGAGAGGACAAATCGAAAATTGTGGGCTTACGTCCCTGTTTCTGCCTTTGCCCTCCCCCACTGGTCTCAATTACAGAGCGATTTTTGAGATGTTCTGGAAAGAGCTATTAATCATACTGAAGCAGGTAAGAATCAGACTAAACTTAGGAGCTGTTTCTACCATCTTTCTAAACCCTCTCACCATGCATTGTGCGCAATTATTCATACATACAGGTGCAGTAGGGGCCTGGATACCCTGACAGATTCAGGAGACCCAGCCCTTGACAGGAGCCCTTGAATACGTAAAGAGGAGAGGTAAGGAGCGTGCACTGATTACAGCGCGTTCCCACACCCACCAAACCACCTCAGGGATGCAGCCATGCGGCGGGTGATACCTCAGCACCACACCAGTCCGAATGGACCAGTGTGAGGTTTTTTCCAGTGGCTGGAGTGCCGATCCTGCCGCCAACCCCCAAGTTATTCCCTGTAAGTTGGAGGACCTCCTTATAGGGCTTGATGTAGATTAACATCATACCCAGGGTGAAGCAATTGCAGGTTAAGGGCCTTGCTCAAGGGCCCAACGGAGTAGAATCACTCTGGGCATTCATGGGATTTGAACCAGCAGCCTTCCAGTTGCTGGCACAGATCCCTAGCCACCACTCCACCCTACGAATATGTAAGATTATACATAAAATCGGATGGGGGGGGGGGAGAGGGGTTTGAGGTGACATTTTGTCAGGGGCCCAGGACTTTTGAGTATATCCCTGCTGATATGTCTTTGTTTTTATTTTCACCTCCTGGGGTGGAGTGTGGATGGGGGGGATTTTTCTTACTTTCTTAACATGCTTTGATGAAGGAGGTAAAACACCTCGGTATCACTGCAGCGGTCACTGGTGGACACTAGTGACAGTGATGTCCTTCAGTGCCCATAGTCAGGTCTGCAGTCCTAAGAACTGGCAGCATACGACCTTATGACTCCTGCTTCTTGACGTTCTCCAAAGTCGGCTGGTCAACTGCTCAAAAGAGTCAAACGATTCATTACTGAATCCAAAAGTCCTGCTCATTATGAGAGTAGCAATCAGCACAAGATTAGCTCTTTATATTCCCAAGTACCGGTAGCTGAAAAACACACACGCGCCCGCCAGAGCCTTGGTAATGAGGAGATTCTGTGAAAAATATCCACAGGAAAATGTGGAAGACGGGAAGTCGTTCGTTTGATTAATTTGACTTGGGGACGAGTGAAATGTGCCGGCCTCTTGGTGGGGGGGCGCGTCGCCCTGAGCCTGCACGGTGACCCCGCGCCCCGGCCCAGCCTGGCTCATCCTTAATTGGTCGCTGTAAATGTCCAAGGATTCATTAGACAAGAAATAGCACTGTCAGGAGAAGCCATTTAAAAAAGATGATGGAACCACCCCCCCCCCCCCCCCCCCCCCCCTCGCCTTTTCCCCCAAATGCTTTTTTACCAAAATCTGCTTTTCTCAATGAGCAACGATAGTTTAATACGTTAATTGTCCGGAGAGTGAGGCTGCCGTGGCAGAGCCTTCAGATCCACTTAACAGGTCCCATAAATCGCCGGACCCTGGCCGCTGTGGTCTGTTTAAATGGCAGCGTTCTGCAGAACCTCGGAATTCTCGGGACGTCTTGAAGTCGCTTTGAGACTTTAAACTAAAGTTTTCCGTGTGGTTTTTCAGGTGGAGGTGAATGACATCATGCTGTGGTTCCCTTATGAAGACACATGTTCCTGGGCTGTAGCTGACTTTCTGCATCATGCCAGTTTGCCCTGTGACACACAACCTATTACAGACAAACTCGGAGCCTTTATTGACGAAAACCATCAGACTTCCTGTTCTGGGAGGAAATGGATTTCTGGAAGGATCGCTGGGGCCATGACTGTGCTGAACGTGTGTCATGCACTGGTTCACTGGGGGCGAGGAAGAAACCAGCACGTTTATTATCTGTATTTTTATGCCAGTGCAGAGTTATGTTTCTGGTGTACAGATGATTATTGGGTTTTTTTTTACCGATTAAGGCCAACAAATTATAGCTCTTCTTGAGCAGATCTGCAACTTTCTGCCACCTCAGTACTCGCAGAGCATTTCTGACTTAATAACAAAAAGGTTAAAAAAAAAAAAAAACAGGAAGTGGTATAATAACTGGTCCGATAGATGACTGCCCTAACATGCTACCTTCAACCTCTCCTCTGTACGCCTTCCTTAGTTTACAGTAAGAGCTCAGCATTTTCAGAGGAAATTTTATGGGTCTTATGCGAAGTTTTATGGCCTCTGACATATAATTAAAGAAACATCCAGTTCTGCAGCAGCCGGTAGAGGCATTTTGGCCCCCAGAATCATTGCTGGTGAGATACAAATGAAGACTGTGTGCATTCCTCATAAATCTGCGGGCCCGTTGCAGCCCGCCAGCACAGTGGAGGCGGTGGGGGGGGTGGATGTTTTATGCAACACTGGATGTATTCCATCCCCGGGATGTCCGAGACACCATCACCTCCCTCGTCGGTCCTGGCCGAAATACGCTCATTGGGGGGTGGGGGGAGAAGCTGGGAGGAGGTAATTAGGTCTTAAAAAACCGACTTGTCCAGCAGAAGTGAACGATTGGTCTCAATTAGAAAGTGATTTATTTCAGCCTATTACTTTATAATGGAATATGGCAGGCCGAACTTAATGTCCTCAGTTATGAATCACGTCTGGATTGCACTTAGGGCTGTTAGAGGGCTTTTTAAAAAGATGAGCGTAAATTTTCAGGGTGACTTCAGGGTGTTTTTAATCTGGCGAGCGTAAATATGGATTAATTTCAAAAGGGGAGCTTTAAGGAACCTCTACAGGATGGGAGAACTTACTCGTGCAACGGTGAAGTCAGGAATGCATTGTAACCTCACTTAGGTGTGTTATAAACAAATCGTAATAAATGAGAATTCGAACATTTCAGATGATATTTACAGGGGTGGGTTAATGCTTAGACTATCCTAGGCTATAGCCTTGGGCCCCAGCAAACGTCAGGGTCTCGTCCCGAATAGTTAAATCAACAGCACCTGAGCGTCCATGGTGATTTCAGCCTAGGACCCCCAGGTAAGTTAATCCGCCTCTGGATATTTAGTATGAGACTGCAGGTTCCCTGTACCAGAGAAGTGTTTGGAAGATGGATGTTTATTATGAATTACACTGCTGACAATCGGTACAAGTTTATAGTGGGCCTGCAGCCTTAATTCCTAGGCTGGGGATACCAGTTCATTGCTGGGAAAACACACTACGGGAAATTCAGAGATTCTTTGGACTGTGGCAGGAATGTGGAGCACCTGGAGGAAAGCCAAGCAACACAAGAAGAGCATGCAAGCTCCGCACACACTCAGACTGGGGGGATCATTCAGACTTGCATCATACCTCCTCATGATGATGATGATGATGATGATGATGGAAAAGTGTTTCCTTACTATACCACCATAACTCCTGATTGTGATGATTATGATGAGGTTATGATACTATCCACTGTAGCACCATACCTCATGATGATGATGATGATTCATGATGATGATGGTCATCGATGATAATGATGATGTGCAGTTTGTGGATCAGTGGGTTAGGATGCTGTACCTGTAATCTGAAGATTGCTGGTTTGACTCCCAGGGTCACCAGTGTTACTTAACCATTAAGATCCTGAGCAGGGCCCTTAACTTCCAATTGACTGGCCGGCCCTGCTTTCTCAAAAAGAAAATGTACCTCGCTTTGGACAAAAGCATCTGCTAAACCAGTAAAAATGCTGCTGGCATATTGCTGTTACATGTGAACCTTCTTCTTCTGATACAGAAGAAAGTAGCACTTTCAGTTAGGAAACATGATAATGGCGTTTTCTCCTTCAAAAGTCCTGCCTGTAAAACAAGCTTTCTGATCGATACCCAATGTCGATGCAGACGCTTCCTTTTTGGATGGACATTACGTGGCCAGAACAAAAACGAGAGTATGTTGTACAAAGTGTGGAGGAGTGATCATACATTATTTGACAGCCGAAAATTTTGATTCAGTGACGTGCATTAATTCATAATGTGACTTGATTGCTTTGACACCCAAAATCGTAGTTTTGTTACCTAATCATGCAGTTGGATCATCAAATGGAATAATTCAGGTTACGCGTTTTTCCTCAAGAGTACTGCAGCTGAACCCTTCCTAGCATTTTCACCGATAACCTTAAGAAACGATCAATAGAACATGTAAAGCAGCAGCTTACGAGAATATGCAAGCAATCGTGAGCAATCGGTAGTCCAAGATCGCCACCTGTTGTCCAACTGAAGTAATGAAAATAAGTAAGGCGCGTTACAGTTTTTCTCCATTTCTTCGCCACATTTCATAAAATATATGTAAAATTCTCAAGACTATGACGGAATTTCTCAAAATAGTTTATGCATATAGCACAACATTTTATTTAGATGCAAAAGGCCGTAACTCATCCAAAACAACTAAGTCATGTCTCAAAAGAAAATAATTCTATCAATGAATTAGTCACTGCCAAAATGAAAAGTACAATCAGCATCGTTTTAACCATGAGTCAACATAGATATATCGTCGGCATGTCAGTGTAAGCATTCTCCTGAGCTCCACGATTCTGAATGATAGTCGGTTCCCACTTTCTCATTGTCACTAACTGATCCTTCTTCTGTAGCAAACAGATACTAATTCATGTCAAAGGCACCAGTTTCAACACTGCGTGGCTCTAAATTGCAGTATCAAAGTTCACTGGCAAGAGAAAGCACTCGCATGCCCATGTAACTTCTTCAGGTCTCAAGACACAGTACAAAAGCAAACAAAAAAGTCACAGAACACTGGATAAGACAAAAACGGCGAAATGGCAACAAAACCCTGCACTGCAGGAACCAAACATGCAACAGTGCTGTATCACTGCAATTTATGTAATATATTCCTGAATCATTCTGAAATTTTGGTGAACTGTTTTGCACGTGGTGGCTAAGACGATGATCATTTACACATATATAGTTTTGGGTGAGTAGTTATTACAATGGGAAAGTACATCATCTATTTTGACCAACAAGACTAAAGCAACTGAAAATTGTGCCAGATGATGACAACTGTACAAGAACGTGGAATTTCGTGTGCAAGAATGATCAATGACATTCTACTGTGCATGACATTATGCGGAAAGCAATCGAGGAAGACTGTAAAAATCTGACCGCATTTTGATTGTACAAAGGAAGAAAAAGACCGATGCTGTCTTTTGGATTTCATGCATTTGTCCGTCCAAAAGAACTGATCTATTATATATGAATTACTTTAGTATGTTGCTATGGAAGTAGATTTTTCATAGACTGTCCGCTAACAGAAAAAACAACTATCGTGACCTTGTGTTGGAAAGGCGGTAACCCTGGCCATCAATAAATTGTATAACGCTATTTGAGCACACGAAATAACCATTTAATCATGGTTGTGATTGCAGGTCCGCGTTCATGCGTTATAAATTCAGAAGTACATTCTGAGACAATTTATGCAATTAACATACATCATCACTTCCGTGAAACTGCTTTTATACAGGACCTTAATGCTGAAACCCACTGAATCCGTTGTATTTAAGGCATATAACGGAATTTCGCTTATAACGGACAAACAACTCCTCCTGACAGGGGATTCCGCCAGACGTTCCCAGCAGACCTGCACTATACGCTTGGGCCTGCCAAGCCTGGCCAGCTTCCTCCCCCACCAGCAGAGCCAACCCACCACCAGGTAGTGATCAGTTGACAGCGCTGCCCCTCTCTTCACCCGTGTGTCCAAGACATGCGGCCTCAAGTCCGATGACACGACTACAAAGTCGATCATCGAACTGTGGCCTAGGGTGTCCTGGTGCCAAGTGCACATATGAACACCCTTATGCCTGAACATGGATGAAGTGGCCGGGGAGAGGGAAGTCTGGGTTTCCCTGCTGAGACTGCTGCCCTCGCGACCCGACCTCGGATAAGTATCTTAGTATCTCAGTCACCACTCAAGCATGAAATGCATGAACCGTTATGCCTGACGAATGATTAACGAACATGGGTCAGTTCGTATAGCTTACACTTAGTTTCTGGTTAATCAATACATTAAGTAAGAGTGTACTGTTACATTATTTTTGCCCCCTCAAGTAAAGTGTTACCGTTTTTTAACAATAGAATTAGTTGATGATATGGATTACTGTTTTAGTTACAATTATCATATTTAGCAAACAGTTCAAATATATAAAGACTGGAAAAAAGAATGTTATAGTCTCAGAAGATTATACAGAAACAAAACGACGAATCAATATCAGATTTTTTGGTTTCTTTACTAAATTGCCCTCGTGATATTGTTGTTTGTCTCCCAGAAATTAAGCAAACAGGATTGCTCATTTGTTGTTTTATATTTATACTAATGTGTCGATGTATCAACTAATGGAATATAACAGGATGCAATTCTAGTGTAGTAACATCACCCGCATCGACATTTAATATTACTACAACCAAACTAAACTGAAAACGTCAAAAATAATAAGTACATCAGGGTCTGTGGTTAATATAGATCAATTCATACTTGTGACCAAATGGCAAGATTATTGATTTCTACTGTAATTTCCACTGAGATGGATTTTTATTCTAATGAAATTTGACTATTTGTAATACACTGAATTGCTATAAAATCAACACAGATTAATCATAACATACTTGAGCATTATTTTACTTTGCTTGGCAACACTTTAATTACCATCAGAAGTCGGATTTTCTGGAGATACAGTTGCTATACAATGCTGGTTTGTTGGGAAAAAAAACTCGGTTTATAATTGAACATTTATTTTAAAGAAGGCCACACTTATAACTAAAACCATTATATAATTTATTTGTTCAGAGTGGACTAATTTAAGCAATAACACTTAATAAATTCCTAATATATAACTCCCATGACTCCCATGGATGGATGGATCCTTTAATTTCAGGACCTGTAGAGTGTAGACTTTTAATGTGGGATATCAATTAACAATCCAGCGTTATCATCTTACATACTGGCACTAGGTGGCGCAAGGCAACTCCTCAAGCCGTCTTCCCACAGGACGGCATAAATCCCAAAGGAAGCCCTCGTTATTGCTTACTGCTTAATTGGGTCAAACGGCGCCCTCTAGCGTGGAAATTACTAGAACACCATAGAATGTTCCGCATCAGGGAGGCTGGTGCAGGAAGTGACGCAGAGCCTTGGCGGAAACGGGACCACGGAGACGCGTAAAGATTTTTCGAAGACTCGCTGCTCTTCCAGTGGACCTGAGAAGGTAGTGGAGTGAATCGCGCTCTGTAGTGTTCAGGAGACCAGCCGAAGGAGAGGTCTTGGGGTGGATTCCGCAGGTGAGCGAGTCCTTCAACGGGTCCAAGTTGTCTATATGTGTGTATGTTTGTACTCGTGTCACTGATTCAGAAACAGCGTCGACTGGTTCCCTGGGGAGGGGGGGCTGCATCCTGCTTCTGTTTGTATTTGGGGTCGGTCTTCTGTGATGGTGCCTCTCCGACCCGACACTGTTAACCCCGGTGACCGTAAACTTCACACTGCCGTTGACACGTGTACGCTGATCGCGAGGCGAACGCGTGTGTGCTTCCCCCAGTTCACATTTCCAGCGGAAAACCCATGCGAGCTAGCTTATGTCGTACAAACCGCAAGACGGCTCAGTCTGACAAACCATACTGCTGTCCTGTAGGTCAGGGCAAAAAAACATCGGGAAATATGACAGAAACATTGCAAGGATATTATATTAATTATGCGGCACTGATTTCTAAGCTGCCAGCGTAGTAGGAATCGAAGGGTACATTAATCGTTGTAGACAAAGGGACACCCATCAGCAACTGGCTGTTTCTTTTAAGTGGCCCTTTTTCCTCGTCCGTTTGTCCATCTGTGTCCGGTTACATAGTAAGTTACGGTGTGATGGTCATAAACAGCCAAAGATGAGAGGAGAATGGGGAAAAACGCCTGACCGGAGGAGATGCTCCCGTTACGATTTGAGAGAGCAGTTTAACACGGGAGACGGTAGCGCAGCGGCCAAGAAACCTGCGATGCTACCGAGCGGTGGCGGTACACAAATTCCGTAGCAACGCGACGTCCGCCTCGCACCCACCGCCGCGCGCCCTGACGTAACTTGAATGCGTGCTGGCGCGGTCCGCGCGCGCGAGGGCAGCTGCAGGTGTGGCGCGCGACGGTGGTCCTAACGTGCGTTACCGAGCCTTCTTGGAAGTAACTGTCCATGTTCACCTCACGACGACAACAAGTAATAATGAAATAACGGTAATAATGAAATAACATTTCAGCCCTAGCTGGAGTCCTTATGCTGTGTGTAGCTCAGTCTGTTTTCTAAACGCTTATCTTGGTCAGGGTAGCGGGGTGGACTGGAACTTATCGCAGGCAGCCAAAACACAACGCTGGGGTTACACCCGGGCGCCATACCAGTCAACCGTGGCCGATTTCATGGCATCATTTGCACAGTCTGCGGGTTAGCTCTTCACTGTATGAGGCTGGGAGTTCTCTACTTGTAGTGGTTAAGATATCGTGATATCCTCATTGTTGTCAAAACGTACGTTTTACGTGTATTTTGTTTATCGTAGAGTTTATTGGGATGCACATAGTAAATGCGAGGCTTTAAAAAAAAATGTTATGATTTCTTTCTATACATTGATGAAATCGAAACGTTTCAAACCTGGGATATTGCCACAGCACTCCAAGGACGTTGCTAGACACACCCAAGATTAATTTTATATGAGTAAGATACGCCTTAGTAATTTTAGAGTGGCTGGGTATTAAATTGGTACCTGGGTCATTACCAGGGTGTGCACTGCAGGATCAGATAACGTAGATAATTTAATACCTACCTTGGTCTCTGATTCAAAGAGAAGTTATGCAATAGTCTCAATCACTGAATCTTCCCAGGAGACTTGCTGTCCAAGTTGGTGGGTAACCGCTGGTATAGTGGATAAAGGGAAACTACTGTGGTTTATTTGAAGGGTCCTCTGAGTGTAGTACAAATTGTCCTGTGTGAAAGAGTGCACATCTCATTTCCTCTAAGTTGATTTATTGAAATTCAGCTATCTGTGCCTTGATTTGTAATTTATACTTTTTTTTATAAGACGGACGTATAACTGGAAAAAATGCTAAACTCTTAAGCAACCAGTAGAAATAGCCATTATAGGATAGCACGTGATTACTTTTACGGCTGTCACTATGCATTATATGAATAATCAAGTAATCTACCGATTTAATAGAATGTAGAATGTACTGTATATAATATAATTAGCATGAGGCACAAATCGATCAGGGTACTGCAGGGTACACACAGTCAATTTAGGCACACCAATTCACTTGAGTTGCATGTTTTTGAACAGTGAAAGAATAAGTCATGCACATACAGGATGAACATGCAAACTCCATACACACAAAGTGGCAGTGCGGCAACGCACCATGCCGTCCTGACAGACTTGCGTGATGTGTGGTGTTAACATCAATGTGATATCTCATGCACATGCAACTGTCACATTGCAAGGACAGCAGTAGTCTGCTGGGGTCAGACATCGATAAGTTGCACAAAACCTTTTTTGCTCGGTCACTGGAAATGCAGCTTACCAAACATTGCAATTTTTATGATGGTTCCTTTTCAAAATTATCTTATATATATGTGCAAAAAAGTCTAAAGTTTGACACCACTGCTTTTGCATGATCTCTGCATGTGCTCTCCTAGACAATCTTAATTATTCTTGTCTTTGCTCTTGGACTCATTCATAGACTGTGTGGCACGTTTTTTGAGAAATGAAACTAAAATTAGTATAGGGCAAAAAGTGAACAGGAACTGGTCACAAAAAGGCATTTGTCTTCCTCTGTATGGAAATATTTAAGTGATTTGTCAGTGCTGCTTCGTGTCTACTGGCGCAACTCGCAACAACGCAGCCAAATTATTTGATGGACTCTGTTGGTGAATAAAATATATTTGGCTATATAGTTCATTTTCAATTCCTAAATATCGCAAAAACCTAAAATATTGCAATGTGAACTTTTCCCAATATCTTTCAGCCATAAAACATGTTAAAAAAATCTAATGAATAAAATTAATGTTATATGGTTATTATGTAACATATTTTGTATGATAATGCAGCTAAGTCAAGGGACTAACCTTAATTTTAGCGGCAATTATTTTGACATACAGGAACCATAGAAAATAAATTGAGCAAACCCAGAAGTCGTATTTTAAGCTGTATTTGCATTGCAGTCATTTTGTGGTGGTATTTAAGTTCTGCTTCGCAGTATCGAGAGACAGCTTCTTTTTAATTCACTTTTAATTAGAAGTGCTTCCACAGAACTGATGCTTTTGCTCTTTATTTGGATTCTCATCTGCTATGTGCAGTCTTCCTTCTGCCATATTGCTGAGTAATCAAGTAGGAAAATCTTAAGCAATGCTTTTTAGTAATCGAGTTTGAGTAATCATGATCGCTCTGACTTAGTCATGAGTCTATAGGAATGTTTAAAGGCAGCACAGACAGTAGATGTATGTCAACACAGAAGGCGAATGTTGGTGTGTGAATCATAAAAATATGGACAGTTCAAGAGTCATGCATTCCTTTCTTTTGAAATATTCATTGCAAATCAAGACAAATCCCCAAATTTATCACCAGATACCTGTTACCAGCTTTCCACTACATTTGAGACAGGTGTCAGGACAAACTCTTAACTGTAGTCCAGTGTTTGCATAAAAAGTTTTCTTTTCAACTTTAAGTTACCTACTGTATCGTCTCCTGCATCCTTCTTTATGACACCAGAGTAGCAAATTGAACCACACTTGAATTTGTGCAGCAGTTCATTTTAAGGTCTGGCTGATGTTCACGTTTGTCTATAGTCAACAGGCAACACCTGTTTCTTGAGTTTGTGACATCAAGCCACAGCAACTTTTTTTTGTCATTTATCTTTTGCTGCAGGACTGTGTTTTCCTTTACACAGCTGTCCAATAATTCATGTGAAGCAAAGGGTTGAAAACCATAAACGTTTCTGGAAATTTCCAAATGTTTCAATTGTCCAGAAACATGCTTTTCTTGGTTGAATAAGACATCTTTTCTAAGAGGTATAAGTAAGTCTTTATCACAGATACATTGTTCGTCTGGTTTAGGGCTGCAAATCATTGTAGGAAAGTTACAAGTATGGGGTGCAGCTGTCCCCTGGGCTTGCAATGAATTGGAAAGCTGGATTATCTACTGAAACAGTCTGTGGAGGAGAGTGCTGACTTGGGCATACTGTAACTGAAAGCTACAGAATGACAGCAAACAGCTGGTTTACCTCAGTGTCTTTGCGAGAGCAGCACAGAAGGTGAGTGCTAAAACCAAGAAGAGTTTGGTTTTATATGAATTAAGCAAGATGTCCACATCTTAAAGCTTTGATCTAAATGGTCTCAGTCTTTGAACTTTTGCCCTTTTGTGCCGTGGGTGGGGATGGATGAGCATGGCTGTCTCTTGCTGTGCTTTTCATCTGCTGCGCTGTATACATTGCATGCAGTGTAAACAGACTAACCTGTTGTCAGACTGGGTATTAACTGTAGATCCTTGCTAGACAGAAATGGAATTTCTGATGCCTTAAGGTCTGTTCTGCGAAGGGTTTTTTTCCCCCCTCTTACCCAGAGACCAGTTCTTGGGAGAGTAGTACATAGGGCTGCCTTGATCAGTGTCGCAATGTGATCACAAATATATGCCGCATGCGCAATAATCACCTGGGCTTTAGATAACAGGTGAAACATTTGTCGGTACGCCAGCTTTTTGGTACTGTATGGACTTTTACTTATGCCAGCAATTTGGTCAGCAGATTAGTATTGTGCCTAAAATATTAATGAGATGCATATTGTGATGCCCAAAAGTTAGTGATCGCTATAAATTCGGTGTATCCTTATGTTTAATAAAAGTGTCGGTCTTTAAGTTGCAAAAAGTACTACCACACCACCAACATATTTTTACTTCACCAGCCTCACCACCCCTTGAGTGCTTATTCCGTAATTCACCAACACAGTAGTATGTGGCATGCTTTGCTAACTGAATTTAATAAACAGACGGCTATGCTGAATTTATGTGGACTGACTTTTGGGTGCCACAATACAGCTCATTAATATTTCAGGCACTTTACTAATCTGCTTACCAAATTGTCTGCATAAGTAAATGTCCATATAGTCTCAAAGATGGTGTCCAGACAAATGTTTCACCCATCATTGAAAGACCTGGTGATTATTGCGCATGTGCCATATAATCGCAATTACATTGTGTCATGATCAAAACCGCTCTAGTAGTACAAATACCCGGCTGCATAGTGCACATGTTTCAATAGGAGAACAATCTGA